ATTTATACTCTTTGGCCCTCTACTTATAATCTCTCCCCCAGAAATTAAAGCACAAGAATGTAAGGCTAAGTGTGTAAGGGCAAATGTGTTGTTGTTTATAATAGCAAAAGTAGGAAACATCCATCAGTAAGAGAATGGTTGAATTAATTATGGTGCATCCATATAGTGGAATATTAAACATAAAATAGAGAGCTTATTTCATTAGCCTGCACTAAACACTTCACTAAACACACTAATCTGCACCTTGTGTGGGAGGGTTGCTTTTGAATTTGGTTGCCTTCGTGTACCCAGCAGGTAAGGCAAGACTGCATTCAAAACTGACGGCACTGCATGTTTGGTAAAGCCCTCCTGCCAAGTGCATGCATTATTCAGCATGAGAAGTCATTAATTTCTAGTAACTGGCGATTCACTTGCATGTGAGCACTCAAATTTTCGAAATCTGTCCAAAGGCTTTTGGGAAATTAACATGGCTTTCCACAACAGTTCACTGGAATAATAAATATTGAAGAAAATCAAAGGTGCATTGTTTTCTGCAGAACATCTTTTTGGAGGGTTAAAAATGTCTTCTGTGTTTACCAAAATTAAGTGCCTATAATATATGTACCTCTTATGCCCAGACTTTCACAACTCTTCATCTTCAATAAACATATTCCGTTGTCTGAGCAAATTCATTATTGTTTCCTTTTGAGTATACTTTGGTCCCTAAATGAATCTCATTTGTGTTTTCAGGTATAGTCATGCTTGCATTCTCATTTCAAAAATGTTTTTCCATTTGATGGCTATCTGAGAGCTTTCTTTTTTTAAAATTAACAAACCCGTTTGCCTGCCAACAAATATGTATTGTGTTTACAGTATGTCAGACACCGTGCTAGGTATTGTTTCTTAAAAAATTTTTTTTATTAGGGGGAATTTCAAACATATACAGAAATAGAAAAGTATAATGGAGTCACATGTGCTTTTTAGGAAGCTTCAACATTATCAATTCAAAGCCAATCTTGTCACATCTATACCCCTCCCTTCCAGATTATTGTGAAGCATCTCTGGGACATCATATAATTTCATCCATAAACATTTCAATATGTATCTGTAAGAGATAAGGGCTTCTTAAAAAAACCATACCGTAGAAAACTAAAAATTAATAATTCCTTTATATAGTCAAACATCCAGTCAGTGTTCAAATTACCAATAATATCACGAATGTCATGTTTTTTTACAATCTGAATCAGAATCTAAATAGTCTACACATTGTGATTGGTTTTTGTGTCTCTGAAGTCTCTTTTTAGTCTATAGGTTTCCTCTTTCTCACTCCTTGATATTTCTTTGTTGAAGAAGTCTGGTTGTTCATCTTGTACATTAACCACAGTCTGGTGCACACAGCCTCATCCTGGTTCCTTTAATGTTCCTCTGTCCTTTGTGTTCCTTATAAATGAGTAGTTGGATCTAAAGTAGGGGTGCCAGATTTAGCAAGTAAAAATACTGGGCACCCAGTGAAAACTGAATTTCAGATAAACAGTGAATACTTTTTCAGTATAAGTATGTCCCAAATAAAATGCATGGGACATACTGAATATTGCATGGAGCATGTTTACACTAAAAAAATTATTGTTTATCTGAAATTCAATTTTAACTGGGCATCCTGAATTTTATCTGGCAAATCTAACCCTAATCTAAAAGCTTTGAGTCAGCTTCAATTTTTTTTGGGGGGGGAGGGCAAAACTACTTCATAGATGGTGGCATGTGCTTCCTTTGGGAGCCACATAATGTCTGATTGTCTTTCTTTGTGATGATAGCTGCCATTGATGCTCAATGCCTAGATCTGTGATTCATTAGGGTTGCAATATGGTGATCTTCTAATTTTCCAAGGCATATTTTTTTATTGAGGTAACTGGTTTATAACATTATGTAAATTTCAGGTGTACATTATTATATTTCGATTTCTGTGTAGACTACATCATGTTCACCACCCAAAGACTAATTACCATCTGTCACTGTACACATGTGCCCTATTACCCCTTCTCGCTCCCCCCTTCCCCTCTGGTAACCAAGGCATATTTTTAAGAGGAAGTTTGGTGTAGTGATTAAGAGGTCAGGCTCTGGCATAGGAAAGACTTGGTTTGAACTCTGGCTCAGTCACTTCCTAGCTGTGTGACCTGGGGCAAGTTAGTTCACTTCTCTCAGCTTTAGCTTCCTCATCTGTAAAACAAGGCTAATAATAGTACCTATCTCGTAAGATTTTTTTTTTATAATTTTATTAATTTATTTATTTTTCCCCCCAAGCCCCAGTAGATAGTTGTATGTCATAGCTGCACATCCTTCTAGCTGCTGTATGTGGGACGTGGCCTCAGCATGGCCAGAGAAGCAGTGTGTCGGTGCGCACCCGGGATCCGAACCCGGGCCACCAGCAGCGGAGCGCGCGCACTTAACCGCTAAGCCACGGGGCCGGCCCTCGTAAGATTTTTTGAGGATCAAATGAGTCAAGTTATGTGGAGTATTTAGAACAGTGCCAAGCACACAGTAGATGCTCATAAGAGCTAGCTATTATATCTAATGAGACTCTTGAAGAATTATGGCCTTTCAAATTCAAGATTTTCCAATATTAAAAACTTTAAATCCTCTGTTCAACAGTTAAGTTATATTTTCACGTTATTAATAAAAATAACAATGAAGATTTATTGAATGAACAGCCTCTCATATTTGTCCAGTGCTTTGCAAGTTAACAGAAGCCTTCTTCACATGCATCCATTCTCATTTGATCCTCGTAGCAGCCTTTTAACTGGAAGGACTGGTCTTATTCATTTTTTACATCTGAAGAATCTTGGGCTTAGAGAGGTGACTTTCTCAAAGTGTAACAGCTAGAAAGTCACACGATAGAGCAGGGAATGAGTCCTAGTCCAAGGCTCTTTTGATGGAAAACATTAAGTGAGCAAAATTGTGTGGTCCTCCCTCTGTGCAATGCTTTCATTTCTTGGTTCCAGTGACAACACTATCTTGTTTTCTTTTTCAACCTTTCAACTTCTTGTTTCTTTCTTAAACTATTCCCTCCCCATCCCCATCTTTGGTGTCTCTTTCTCCTCTTCCTGAATGTAGTTGTTCCCCGAGGTTCTATCCTTGGGCCATTTTTATTGCTATATTCTCCCCCTATGATACCTACTCAGTAGCCTCATCTATTCAAATAGCTTCAACCACTCCCTCTGGGAAGATGATTTCCAAATCTGTATTTCTGGCCTCTACCTCTTTGTTGAGCTTTGGACCCAAAATTTCAATTGCCTGCTTGATATCTCCATCCTGTTTCAGATAGACTCTTACATTCAATGGGTCTGCTTATCTGGATCCTGCTTTTTACCAATCAACTATAAACAAACAAGGAGATGATTGAGGAAATTTGAATACTTACTGATGACATTATGTATTTGATGACGTTAAAGGCTTAATGTTATTTTTTTTTAGGTGAGATAATTGTATGTGGCTATGTTAAGAATATCTTTTAGAAATATATACTGAAGTGTTTATGGATTTTATCATATGGTGCCTGGGATTTACTTCAAAATAATCCAGTTGGGGAGAGGAGGAATAGTTAAGGGTATTGAAAAAAGATTGGCCATGAGTTTATAATTGTTGAGTTAGGTAATGGGTATATGGGGCTTCAATATCTGATTCTCTTTATTTTTCTCTGTTAGGAAATTCGCATAATAAAAATTTTAAAAGCTTAAATAGGTCCAAAACCAAATTGATCAACCTTACCTACATCCATCTCCTGACAATAATTTTCTTATTAACGTCCCCTTATCTTCTCCCAGTCACTTATGAAAACCCAGAGCTCTCTTGGTTTCCTCCTTCTCCCTGACCTCTATACACAATCAGTTGCTAAGTCAGGCCAGAGACTCCCTTCACAGTGAATCTTGCTTCTATCCTTTCTTTTTCATTCAAACCACCACCACTCTGTTAAGTCCATCATTTCTTACCTGAACTACTGTAATTGCATTTCTAAATTTCTCCCCATTTCCAGTCCCTCCTCACTTGATATATATCAAGCATCTAGCATAGTGCTTGGTAGTTATTCCCTCTCCCTTTCTGCTGCATTGTGCATTCATCTTCCTTATTGTTGCCTGCTTAATCCTCCAATGACATCTCCCTTCCCTGAAGAGACTGTTCCTCACTCCCTTTAAGCGTTGCCTTCCTCCCTGTCCCTCCTGGATCCTGCAACTTTACTGCTGCCTCCACTCCACCCCAACTGCCATACTTTGTGGAGGAAGCTTGTGTGTCTGAATAAAGACTGATTTCTCAGTTCCAAAGTTAGATATAAGAGCAGGATTTTTCCTAGCTGTAGATGAGTGGAGCCTTTACATACAGATAAAACAGACATACCAAGTGTTAGTAAAAGAGAAGCAAGTTTTAAAGCTGCCTCTTGTCTCCCCAGCTCAGTGGAGAAGAAAAAGGAGGATGTCTAGCCCAGAGGGATCGGCTTCTAGATCCAGGCAGGGTAGGGTAAATGCTGATGGCAAAGAAGGAGCTGGGTGGATATTCCAGCAAGCTGGGGGCTTGAGGAAATACATTTTGCCTAGTCTGGCCAAGTGAGGAACAGCTAGAACTGCTTCCAGTGGGTCTCAGAGGGACAACCTCAGCAGTATGGATTGGGCGAAGGTTCTGTGGCCTGGAGCTGTCCCAGAGAAATGGCTATTGAACACTTGCCTTTTGTGGCCTAGCTCGGCGTAGTTCTGTCCGTTATGGAGAGCAGCCAGGCATTCAGAGGCTGGGCTGACCAAGCAGAAAGAACCCTTTTATCCTTTAAAAAGAAAATGCTGTAAGTCAGTCACATTCTTAGATTTTAAGCATAACACTTGCAACTAAAACCAAACTGCTGTATTATAATCAAGATGCATGCGCCTGTTTTATATTTAAGGCCCACAGGCTTCAACTAATTTAGGGGACCATCTGGTGAGAAAGAGAGAAAGTCTCATTACAAAGTGGCATTTGTTTGCAGGCTCAAGCCTCAGAAGGGATTGTCCTGGGGACCCCAGCCAATTTCCTGTGCCAGAGCCCAGCGCTTCTGACCCTACCACTTAGGTAGAAAGAGCAAGGCTTTGGAGTCAGACAGATAAGATTCAATTCCTCCTCCAGCATTTACAAACCGGGTGCTTTGAGCCACAGGACTTCTGAGGTTTGAGTTCCCTCAGTTTCCTCATATGTAAAATGGGAATTAGATTGTACTTGAAATTGTTGGGGAGATTAAAGGAGATAAAGTCTCCCAGAGGGAGCCTAGAACTATTGCTTCCTTTCCCATGATCCATAACTTCATCCTCAGTCTTATTCCCTCTGAGCCTTGCTCCTCTTGCCTTCTTTGCCTAATATCCGCTTTCACATGCATAGACATGAGCATGCTTTTAAACAGATCTTTGAACAAAAGGTCTAAAAAATAAATTTTGTTCTAATGCTGTTGTGTGTTCACTTCTCCAGAAGGCAAAGAATTGAAATAGAATTGCCCTGGGATACACCGGTCAGAAGACAATTTTGCCTTTTCTGCAGTGTGCTAAGCAAATCTATGCTCAAAGTCCTCCTGTTTACATTTACGTAGTTGAAAGGATTAGACCAGTTAGCTGGGACAAATGCCAGTTGCAGCTCAGGGGCTGGAGGAGAGGGAGTTGGAGAGCAGGTTGGTTAGAGATGGAAAATCCGGGAATGGGGATGCTTTTAGATTCAAACTAGATAACTGCTACTTAGGTGACAGCTTTATTTCAAGTGAGAATATGAATTTGGCTGTATTCCTAGTTAGAATCTAATGCTCAAAATTTCCTGTGAATCAAAGAATAAAATTAAAAAGTAATGATTGAGATTGGCAGAATGTAATTGCTGAAGCTGAGTAATGGATACCTGGAACTTGATTGCACTATTGTCTGTACTTTTGTGTGTGTTTGAGAATATCCATAATTAAAAGTTTTTTGTGTGGCAATTATGGGATAATGGAGGTCACTCAAGAACTGGAGAGTTTGACTATCATGTCAGTAAAGCTAATAATACTAATAGAGGATATTTGAACAAAAAGAATTCCCTAGAGGAAGTTGGTGATTTCTATAATGCTTATCTAGTTAACTTGATTTGTCTGAAGGATTAAATAGCATGCAGATGAGACATTCAGTGGGTATAATATAAATTGACCTCCAAAAGCTTTTGACAAGATGTCACAACCACTGTTTTTAAGGGAATTGAGTCACTATAGGACTGTGACCCTCTTTCCTCTGAATAGATGTTGCTGTAGAAATAGGGAACAGAGGTAGAGATAAAGGAGTTAAGGACATTCTTTTGACATTTCTAAAGCCTGCTTTCTTAGGGATGGGGGGGCTAGTTTTTGAAAAAAATAAATCTTTACAAAAGATCTGAAGGAAGGAATGCATAGTGAAATCTCCAAGTGGTCGATTACATGAAACTCTGAAAATAAAAAGCTTAGTTGATAGGAATAAGCTATAAGGAAGTCCCATGGGCATGGGTGTATTCATTGGTCGCTATGAAGATTGGCTTTAGCTGTTGCTCTGAGATGTAGCTAAACTGCTTAGGGATATTATGAAGACCTTGCTTGCCAAGCCCCTACGCATGAAGGCTCATTATTGAATGACCTAAAGATAATTCACATATGTATTTGTACACATATGCATTTGATACTAGAGTAGTGGCTGGGATTGATGGTGGATTGAAGGAGAACAACAGGTTTTTCTCCTGCTAGGATCAGCATTTTGGAAGGTAGGGCAGATGCTCTAATATGGATACCCACAATCCATCCTGTTGGGCTGGGAGAGAGTGTAAGCTAAAATCTAGTAGGAGGAAAACTAATCTGCCCTCAGAGGCTTTCCCTGCCCTTCCAGGGAGAGGGTTGATAGGCCTGCTGACAGTGGAGAAAAGGAGTCAAAAGCCTCCTTGTTGAGAGGTTTTCCATTCTACTTGAAGGAAGGAGAATGAGAATAACAAGTTCTCACAGTGGTGGTGGTTGCAGAGCAACACATTTCAGGATGAGAGCTGAAGAGGCCAGGTATACTCCTGACAAGACTGGCTACATAATTGGCAGGACCCAGTGCAAAATGAAAATGTGGGGCCCCTTGTTCATGAATTATTCAGAATTTCAAAATAGTGACGACAGAATATTAAACCCAACATGGGCTCTTCTAAGCGTGGGACTCTGTGCGACTGCACAGGTGGTATGCCCATCAAGCTGACCTTACTCCTGGGTAGCAGGAGTAGTGGTAGCAAAAATTCCAAAAGCGGTAATGGAAAGGTATAGAGCAGAAAATCAAGATCATCTAAAATCTCACCACCTAGAAACAACCACTGTTATCATTTTGGTATATATCCCAAAGATTTTTCTATATACATATACACATCTAGACACATATTCATGCAATTTTTAATATTATGGAAATGGTATATTGTACATTCTTTTCTGTAGATGTTTAAAAATTTTACTATATTTTAGGAAATTTTCCATGTTAGTAAATATAGATCATTTCAACCCTGTTGTATAGAGGTTCCATGTTCCATTTAATCAAACTCTATTGTTGGGTATCTGGGGAGTCTTGAGTTTTTCATTATTACAAATGATGCACATTGAATATCAATAAAGTTGATGAGGATTAAGTCAATCAGTGTAAAGCACTTCACAGAGTACATAACAAATAGCAATCTCCTTATAAATGTTAGTGAATGTTATTTTTATAGTATTGTCAAATTGCCCTGTATGAAGGTGAACTAATTTCCATTCCCAACAGCGGGGTGAGAGGGCTTGGTTTCCCTAAATCCTTGCCAATTCCTTCAATTTTTGCCTTCTGTATTTCTTCCTTTGTGAATGGCCTGTTTGTGTTCTTTGACAGTTCTCCTATTGGATTCCTCGTGCTTTAAAAATTATAATTGATTTCTGTATTGGGGCTATCAATCTTTTGTGATATGAGTAACAAGTACTTTTTTTCTAGTTTTTTTGTTTGGTGTTTGATTTTGTTTGCTTTAATCACACAGAGGTTTTAAAGTTTAATACAGTTAAATCTGTCCATGTTTTCCTTTAGAATTTCTGTCTTCCTTTAGAAAGGCTTTTGCCACCGAACAGGTTTAGAGTTCAATTGTGATGAAGCTTTTCTGGTGTTAGGTGAGCTCCACCAGGCTTCCTCTGAGGCTTTATTCTTCTTGGGCGTGGTTTTCCAAATTCTATCAGTGTAGTTCACAATACTAGAATAATTTAAATGTATATAGGAAGGGAGTACGTTTATTAACTTTGAATCTACATGTGAAGACACAAGATGTATTAAAAACGAGTGTTGTCTATCTTCTCCCAACCCAGAAAACACTTTTGCCTTTTCATATCTTATGCTTTTTCTAGGGAGAGTTCTGTCTTTACCAGAGCTATTTATTGAGGATCCAACCGAAGAGAAATTGAGTTGCAGATACATTTCTTTGGAGTTAGCGGGATATATTTATGTGGTTTGCTATCACTTCTGTGTATAGTGAAGTTATTGCTGGCTGTACCAGTGTAGGAATGACTTGTGGGAACACTTCTAAAGTAGTAAATCCAAAGCTTATATGAGATTAGTCAGTATGTAAAAAACTCGATATATCCTAAAATCTTACAGCTCATATATAAAAGAAATTATAGAGGTTTTCCCAAATTTGACAACAATCCAGAAAATTTATATGGCATTGATCAGTGATGAGTTGTGAAGCTGAAAGAAACCTTTCTCAACTCTTGGGAAAGACTAAATTGTTTTTCTATTCTCTCTGTAGAAATTATACTACAAAAGTGGTATCAGATGAAGAGGTGATCAAAGGATATGCAGGCCAAAAATATAGAAAAGGTAGCAAGGAAGTTTGTCAGTTAATTTAATGAAAAATATTATACTATTTTTTAAAATTTTGTGATGTTTTTGGTATTTGTCAGTTTTTAAAATTTGTAATTTCTTGTCTTATTCTAAATAAGTGTTCAGGATTGTACCTAATTTTACACTTTTTAGAAAACTTATTTAACCCAAATGGTATAAGCTTCAGGCTCCACAAAACTTGGATCTGCCACTGCCTGTGCAGTAAATATTGATGGTCATTTGGAGTGTCCCATGTTACAGATAAGGACACTGGCTTGCCTAAGCTAGCATAGACAGTGGTAGAGCCAGGATCCAACCCTGAGTCTGTCTGGCTTCAAAGTTTGTTATTTTTTTTCACTATCCAAAACTTCTTTTGGATGAAAATGTATAGTAATCAACCCACATTATAGTAATAATAATAATCTACTGAGTGCTTACTAGGTGTTAGGCATTGATATATATTATTTCATTTAAAGTGTAAAATGACCCTATTATGTAAGCATTATCATCTTCATTTTACAGATGGGAATACAAAGATTCAGAAAAGTGAGTTAAATTGCCCAGGCTCACACAGCTAATAAGTGGTAAAGCCAAGATTTGAATTAATGTCTAAATGAGTCTAAAGCCTCAACTATGTTATAAACTGCCTGGGGAGAAAACTCTGGAGTCATTACAAAGAAGACCCCCTTATCCATTCCTTCCATCAACCTCCAGATGAGTACAGAAGAGGGGAGACAATGCCTTCTCCAATCCAGTTGTGGGCAGAGGGTCAAGTCCTTCAAATTTTGGCACAACACCAAGGTGCCCCAGATGCCTCCTTCTGCAAATCCTAGACAGCGTTCTATCATTGCCTTTGCCCACTCTCATCTCCTCCTCTGATCGTGACTCCTCAATTGTGGTGTTCCTGATAGAGGGGAGGCCTGAATGTGACCAGTCAAGGAGCTTTCTGGCCTCTTCTTCAGGGACATACTCACAGTTGCCACTGAGGGCCCACTGCATCAACACTAAAGCAATCCTGCCCTTCCTTCCTTGCGTTCACCACTCCTGCTTTTGGCAATGCTACTGCCTTTTTCAACTATTTAGTTGATGTGAAATATGGTTGCCAGCACTTGGGCTGCCACAGTTCTTTTTTCTTCGAGAAAGGTAGCCCCCAGGGCACACACCTGGATCATGTCAGTTCTCACCTCATGTCTCAGCTTGGAGAACAGGGACCTCTGGGTCAGAGTCTTTCCACATTCTAATATGAGATTTCAACGTGCCCCTCTCAGTAGGGTGGGTGGAGGCTGAAGCAAGGATTTTGATGGCTTGTGAAAATATGTGAGGCAGGGCTCACCTTCTCGAGTTAGAGCTTACTTGACTCCAGGCAAGCTTAGGGAAAGCATTTTGTAGGTGTGTTCTCAATTCCAGAGACTGAGCCTCTACTTCCTTTACTCCTTCCTCTCCGCTCTCCCTACTCAGCCAGTAGTTCAACTTTCCACCATAAAGGAGATGCTCTTTTCTCAAACAATTAGCCCAGGCCTATAGCCCCTGCTTTCTGGGGCACCAAGTACCTGAGGATGTTGACTATAGTTGTCCCCTTTGTGCTACAAACTCAAATTTTTGAATTGGATCTCAAGTCTCACCAGCTGACAGGCTCCACTTGGCAAAAAGCAATAGTTATCTTCGCCTCTGTGTCTTTTTGACATAGCACAGATCTCAAGTCCTCAAAACTGGCATCAACTTTTAAAAGGGCTTGGTGGTGGTGGGCAGTGCATGCTAAAACAGAACCCTGAGCCAGGCAGCTTGCCAATCTCCCAAAGTTCAAGTAAGAGGCAGGGCATGTGAGGGAAGTTTGCCCTGGTGAAAACTCCTTTGTTTGTTTGCTTTTGGGGGTCTTCTAGCAAGGGCAGCTTTATTTTGATATGCAACATAGTTGTGCCCCAGCACAAGTCTTCCTGACTGCCAGACCCTGGTATTTTGTACCTGCGTTCTTTTCTTCTTCAACTCCTCAGCCCTTTGCACAGCCCTTTCCAATGTGTGCTCCAATTCTGACCTGATCACTCTGAGTCACTTGAGGTATTTTGCAATCTTTGAACAGTCCTTCAACTAGCTCCTGTAGTGGCTGCTGAATCCCCCAAATGTTTTTAAATATTGGGCCCTGGCCATTCAGTGATCTTTCTAGAGTCTGTGCCCAGCCCCTGTGGTGATTTTATATGTCCAACATATTTTATTGAGGTCTGGCAGGACTGGCATTTGTCAAGGGACAGTTTTAGGCTGTTTCCCAAGTGATCCAGTAATATAAGGAGCCATTGTTCCTTTCCTCCAAAGCTCTGCCAAACATAATTATGCCATCTAAACGAAGAAGCACCTTTAGGTAATTCATATCACCAAATGCTTTTTCCATCAAACTCTTGAGGGTGTCTGGGGCTCCAAAGATGTGTAGGGAAGCCTTTCAAATAGGTAAAACCCCACAGGACGGATGAAAGCTGTCTTTTCTTTGCCCCAGTCAGTCATAGGATTCAACAATAGCACTTCTCAAACATGGCACAGGAAATGACTGGTTCCCTACCAGGCAGTCTAGAGGTGAATCTGGACACAGCACTCTCTGTCTAAGGTAGAGAGAGAGAATAGAACATTGAGATCCCCCCTGCCCTCAGCCTTCCCTCTCCTATCATGAGCTTTCCTTCTTCCCCTTTACGTATTCGTTTATTCAGCTAAATAGTAGTTCTTAACCCTGACTGCCTATTATAATCTATGGAGTTTGTTATAAAACATTATCCCTGGGCCCCACCCATCCCTCGAGATCCTAACATTTTCTAAACACCTACTCTATGCTAGGTCCTGTGCCCTACCCTAGGAGTAGAGGCAATTCAATCATGGTCCCTGCCTCCATTTAGTTCATAGTTGAGGGGCAGAGAGAGAGAAATTTAAAAGTATAATCCAGTGAGAAAATATGGTGTAGCTTCATGTTCTTTTCTTTCTTTATTTTATTAGTCACTTATACCTGAGAGAGAATGAGTTATCAGATCCTTCCTGAGAACATATTTTTCAAAAATATAGAGTGCTTCACGAATTCACGTGTCATCCTTGTGGAGGGGCCGTGCTAATCTTCTCTGTTTCGTTCCAATTTTAGTATATGTGCTGCCGAAGCAAGCACTCCATGTTCTTTTCTTAATCTAGCTTGTTTCTCATAAAACTGTGCCAGTATGGGTAAGGTAAACATGGATTTGTTCAACAAGTCCTAGTATATAGGAGGAAGAGGGTTCTTGGGTGGCATAAATTGAGAATTTAAAAAAATAGTAAAATGTACGTGACTGTCTATAGAAATTTTATTTGTAATAGCCCGAAACTGGAAACAGTCCAGATGTCCTTCAGCAGACGAATGGTTAGACAAACTAGTACATCCATACCTTGGAATACTACTTAGCAAGAAAAAGTAATTAACTATTGATACATGTGACAACCTGGATGAATCTCCAGACAGTTATGCTCAGTGGAAAAGGCTGATCACAAAAGGTTATGTACTGCGTGCACAAAAGGTTATGTACTGCGTGATTCCATATATATAACATTCTTGAAATGACAAAATTAAGAGATGGAAGAATGTTTAGTGGTTGCTGGGGGTTAGGGAATTGGAGAGGGAGGTAGGCTATGAAAGGGCAACATGAGGGATCCTGTGGTGATGGAAATGTTCTATGTCTTGATTGTGGTGGTCGTGATGCAAAGCTATCCACGTGATAAAATTATATAGAACTAAACACCCACCCCCACACACACCCAGACACAAATGAGTACATGTATAACTGGTGAAATCTGAATAAGCACTGTGGATTGTACCAATGTCAATCTTTTGGTTTTGATATTGCACTATAGTTGTATAAAATGCTGACATTGGGGGATACTGAGGAAAGAGTGCATAGGACTTCCCTATATATTTCTTGCAACTTTCTTTGAATGTACAATTATTTCAAAAAAATAATAGTTCAAGAAACTACTAACCAGAAATCAAAAGGATTACAAATGTTAGACACATTTATAAATACAAAACCATAAGTGGCTACATTAGGAGAAGCTGGGAATATAGTTATTCTTTGATGTTATAAGAGGACAAACAGTCCTCAGGGAATACTAAATTTAAAAAAATAGACGTTTCATTGTTTTTTTCAATTAAAAGAGAATGTTTCTTGTGGAAATTTAGAACATGTACTCAAAAAAGTTCATTAATAATCCTATCATTTTGAGATACTATTTCCTTTCAACATTTAGCACGTATCTTTTCAAACTTTTTTCTGTGTTTAAAATTAAAACAAAAATTTCACACTTAGCAATAAATAGATTTTTTCTGCCTTTGAAGAGTCTTATATTAATATGACTTTAATGTGTGTACAGTATTCCATCATTTGGATGCGGAATGTATTATTTACCTAATCCTCTATTTTGGATATTTAGATTGTTTTCAAGTTTTTAGTATTATAAATAATGCTGCAGTACACATCATTGCCTTTGCATCTTTGTATATACCTCTGATTACTTCCTTAGTATAAATTCTTAGGAGCAAAATTACTGGGTCAAAGATTATGTAAATTTTTAAAGCTTTTGCTACATTTAGCTAAATTGCCTGCCAGAAAGTTTCTATGAACGTTCCACCTCTGTTTTCTCCAGAGCACATTCTATGTTGCTGATGTTAGCAAGTGGGTAGTAGGCTGGATGGACCCACTGTGGCAATTCTTCTGTTTCTTGGTACAGTGTTATAGGATCTAGCACAATGCTGGGTACACACTAGGCCCTCAAAAATATTTGCTGATTTAATATCCTTCATAATGCATTCCTTGAAACTCTTATCTGGGGCTGGTGGGAAACAAAATCATCAAAATATTAGTGTGCTTTCACCTCAAATTATACCACTGACGTCTAGTAAAGACTAAGGCCTTCAGGGAATGGGACAGGGACATTTTAATAAAGAGGAAGGACTTGGGAAAAGTCTGGAGGCTCTAAAGTGGGAAGCAGAAACC